CTGTTAAGGAGGTTTACTTATATAGGCAAATCTCAAAAACTTTTAATATTTTACTTCTTTAGTGAAATGAATGTATACAATATTAGTTGACTTTTGCAAACGATTGTCATTGTATAGGTTAACATATTTTTAAAATGAAAAGTCGGATGTAAAGTTCTTGAACAAAATCAAGACATTTTGAATAATTATTTCTTTCAAATTTGCTGTGTACTTTTTAATTTTTAGTAATCTTATTTTTGTACTATTTTTACGTTGAGTAACATAAAATTTTTGTTTTCAGTAAAAACTATATAAAATTGGATTTTTTTCGAATACAATAATACAGATGTGTTGGCTTGTATTTTAGGAACAACCAAAGAACTGATAAAAGAGCATTCGTAAATTTGAACACTTTTTAGATAAGAATCTTTAAGGACGTTGAAGACCATTGAGCCAAGATGGGCTACGAAGTTGAAACTTCGGGAATTGATAATTAAAAACCCTTATAATTTTTTCCCGAAATTTCAGCTTCGTTTGTCGAGTTAAATTTTATGTATTTTAATTTCAAAAGTAAAGTACACTTTTTAACATGGCTATCATAGAAACGCGCAAGATATTTCACACGATTTTAAGTATAACTTGTGATAAAAATGGAAGATCGTGACCAAATCTCATGTAATTAAAGATAAAGTTATTACCTTTCAAATGGTATCGTTTATATTGTATATTAACGAGCATATTTCAAAGTAATTTTATAAAAATAAAAAAATTTCGTGTTTGCTCTATACATTTGATTTAATTCGAGAGGTTAGCAGCAGACGAAAATACGCTTGATAGCATGTTTATTGGCTTTGAGTCTATGATACTACCGACCCACCTATCAAATCAAGTATCTATCTTCCGTTTTTTCTTGATAGTTGCTGATTGGAACTCGGTTGCGTCCCCAACGTCCTTAAAATAACCTTACAACGACGCCGTTCAAAAAAAATAATTTTCATTGTGGGATTAGATTATTTTTGCATTTTTATATTTCCCAGGTCTACATGTTTGAGGAAAATTATATTTTATCAAACTTTTTTTCAATTAATATGAAATAATTCCTCCATACAACTGCAGAATTGTGAATTGATTGATAAATTCAAAGAACATTTTCAATTATATGTTTATTATGGTATTTTTACTTATAATACTTAAACATTATTTTTTCATTGTCAGGGTAATTGTGAAGAAAAAAAAAATTATTAAATTTTTAGTGTTTTAAAAATATTTATAAAAACGAATTACCGAGCTCTGTTATTGTTACCGAAATAGATGGTTTGGATCGCTTTTGCTGGCCTCGAGCATAAAGCATACAATGTACATAAACTAAGTTAGTGATCTCGTTTGTTACCTTTGGACACTCGAGACAGGTATCAATGACTAGAAATGCGGCTCGAAAGCGCTTGTATACTATTCGATGGCAAGAGGATCGTAGAAGCTCCTTATACATTGGCGTTGAACTTGGGTGAGAGGGTGCCGAATTGGCCATTAGCGTGGTCTGAGAAACTCTCCTTGGCTATTAAACTGTGAAGGAGAAATTTCTCTCTCTCTCGTTTGCTTCTTTAGCTTTTGCTTCATCTCTCACGTGTTAGATTACGAACACACCAACATTTTCAAATCTACCGAGATGCTTACTATAGCAGAATACCTTCTACCAAACTCTCTGGCTGCTCTTCAGACCTCTGAACTTTCCCATTAACTAGTTAATTTGCATACACATACACACATATACACAAACACACACACGCGCACACACTCACACACATACATACACACACACTCTCTCTCTCTCTCTCTTTCTCTCTCTAACGAAGTCTATGAAACTATACAGGAAGAGAGGCACGCACGAGGCTTGAGTTTCTTACATCTCCGGGGGTCTAGGGTGCTACTTAATACCATTCACTACTGACACTAAAATTTTGCTGCTATACTACTCATACTTGTAGCTTTGTAACTCTCTATCCTATCCCCTCGCCATCTACACTTTAACTGGTGTCATGTACATTTAAAGTGATTCATTGAATTTTCATTAATCATTATTCAAGATAATGAAATGAACATTTTTTTAATCCGTTAACGCCCAGACGGACAGAATTTTTTTCTCTATTGTAGTCTGCATTTAAATCATCTTATCGGAGCGAGAAAAATTCTTGAGTACACATTTCCTGTGTAAATTTTAATGTACTTTTTGAATATGGGTTTATAGTTAACCTCTGATAAATATTAAAAAAGGTATAAATAATGTACTGCGAAAAAACACGATTTTTAATCTTGAATCGATTCAAATTATTTATAATTTTTTTAATATTTATCATAGGTTAATTATAAATCCATATTCAAGAAGTACATTAAATTTTACATCAAAAATGTGTACTCAAGAATTTTTCTTGCTCCGATAAGATGATTTAATTGCAGACTACAATAGAGAAAAAAATTCTGTCCGTCTGGGCGTTAACGGGTTAATATAAATTTAACTAACAAAAGAATTATGAAAAAAAAAAAAAAAAAAAAACACTAGAAATGAAATTCGTAATAAATTTATTAAAACTCTCATTATTATATTTTCATTTTGAGAAAAAGTTTCTTCTCTTGATTTTATCTTTGATATTATACTTTGAAACATTAAAATTAAAATTATTTTGTATGGAAAAATAAAAGCATTAATTTCAAATTTATTTCCAAAATCAAAGTCATTCGTGAAGGTTCTTCTCTAATTACGGTACTTCCTAATTAAGGCACTCTAATTAGGGTTTACATTCAATAGGGTGCGTTATTTGTGGCGATTTGATATCAGAAGATCGAGCTTTATAAAAACAAAAGAAAAAAACATTCTTTAATACTCGGCATAGACGACTCAAGGAGATAAGCTAAATTTTACGGTTTTATACATGAATAGTATATTACGTGCCTAGGGAGCGAAATACTGGAAAGCCTCAGAGCACGTGTAATTATTAGGGCTGTGCGAGTACTCGAAAAAACTCGAGTATTTGAATTTTCCCGACTCGAACTCGAACTCGACTCGAACTCGGGTACTCGCACAGCCCTAGTAATTATCGTCCGAGGTGAAGCCGAGGTTGATAAACATGTGCTCTGAGGCTTTCTTTTTTTCGCAGGCGCGTATACTATTTTTCATGAATCCCCCGGCAGAAATTAACTTTTTCGTTTCGGCCACCAGAACGAAAAAGGTTAGTTTTGGCTGGGGTAGCATGAAAAATTATTGAATTCGTCTCTTCAACGAATATAATTTTATTAATCGATACCTTGGGTATAGGGTTTTTAATTTTTGTTTTAAACTTACTCTGCAGAATTACCTGAGCGTTCCATACTTTTTTCATTCTCCTTATAGTCTGGAAATTTAAAAATCATCAACTTGACTTTGGGTTTCAAAATATTTGAAGACCAAAAGAACTGAAGATATAACGAAAAAACAAGAAAATTTATTGTTTGTACAGCTTTATAGAGTAGAAATACTTCATGTACTTAAAAAAAGAAAAATACTTATATTTTCTGAATAGGATCAGTTAATATTTAAATTCAAACTGATTTCACATCTACGATCAACCCCTAAAATATTGGTACGCTCAGATCTCGCATTGACATTTTAATGCAACCCGTCTCGGCTTTAGGCCAACCGTAACCGTGGTGGAAACCTTAGTTTAGACTGTTTGAAAGCTTAAAAACGTTTTTGATGAACTATTATAACCTGTCAATTTGCAAAAAAGCAATACAAAACTGTTTCATGAGTTGAGATAATTATAGAATTTTTAAATTGAATTAAATTTAAATCATGCTTTAATATAAAATTATAAATTCACCTGTGCGAGAGAAAATATCTTCCTCTACTTTTACATTAATTTTAAAGTAAATATTTTTAACAGTATATATATGTGAAGAGCAATTGTTAATCCAAATAATTATGCCTGGAGAGGACGAGGCTAGTGCTACAAAACCAGAGAGGGGGAAAAAGAGGCTAGCCGCAGCAGATCTCTCTTGGGGATATCGATAGAGAGCAAAGGTATAAGGTCACTTGTAACACTCGTGTATATAAGCGCGCGCGGGCACATGCAGCTCTGCGAAAAGGGTAAAGTCGCGCTCGCGAGGCGGCGGGGGTAGTGCAGGCTAGGCATGTAGCCGACGCGCACGGGGCTGAAGTGGGAGGAGCGCGCGCATCACCGACACGGGCGAGAGTTTGCATGTGCGTCGTCTAGGGCTGCTTACGGACGACTCTCAGGCTTCAGTATTACGGCAACCCCAAGCCGCGCCGCATGTCGTTCGGTCTATAGAACGCACCGTGTTGCCAACGCATCTTACGTGACCCGTGTCGCAGCCAGCAGGTCGCGTGCTCTTAGCGCCAGTATACGTGTAAACAGACAGGGGCGCGCGCGACTTTTTGAAAAGGTGGTGGTGTTGTGGCTTGGACGTTCCTGCGATTAGTGTAGCTTTGTCGAACTGTACAAGTTTTCTGATGAATGAGTAACGAGTCATGCAGTTCGATATAGCAACGATGTATTCTATGATTTCCCAAGTGGCAGTTCTTGCAACTCTCTATAACTGATGTGCAGTGGCGCGAGCGATTTTTCTCTTGCAAATAGTATATCAGCTGAAAGATCACTCACGACTCTACGAATGGTCTCTATATCCTTCTCTCTTTTTCTCTCCTGAGTGTGTAAGTGTGTGCTTTCTCGTGTGTCTTCAAGTGTCTGCGTGAATGTGGTCGCTGCAACCAAGTGTCTCATGCTGAAACGTTGACTAGCCGACACGAACTTTCTGGTCCAACTTGTTTCTAGCGCGAGGAATATCCAACTTTCACTACTTTGCAATGTGAACATTTGTTCAGCACTCTCAAAGTTTCATCTGTCGTTTGCCGACGGTTGACGACTAGATAGAGATCTGCAGATATCTTCCAGTTCGTAATAAAGGAGTTACGTCTATCCTCATCGATCTCGATCGTCTGTTCATCAAATACGACTGATCTTCGCAAAAATAGCCTCGCAGCTATTTCAACTATAAAGTTATTGTGCAATGAATTAATTGTGAACACATTTTTTCAAGTGCATTTTTAAACTTTTCTTTAAATGCAACCTAGAGTTTCACATTGACAATTTATTGACAATAAGTTGCTATTTGCTTGTGTTGCATAAATTATCTGCAAATCATCTTGTGACGTTAAAAAAATGATGTCTAAATTGTCACCTATTGATTTGATTCACAGACTGTGATTTAAAACTGCATCGACATAAGTTTTTTCCTGTGAGGGATATGGTAACAAAGGTAAGAGAGCAGTTCTAGATCGTACAATATAACGATTTATTTGCTTTGGCTTATTTGCTTTAATAGTATATTATGCAACGGGTGTGGATATGCTTTTTCCTCAAAACGAGGGGTTGCAACACGAGCTAAAGGCGAGTGCTGTAACGAGGTTTGCTGGAAAAGCTTATTCACATTAGTTGCGTACAATATTTTATAAGAGCCTAAAACTAGCGGCAAAGTTGCGATTTTTAGGTTAGAGTGCTATAAAAAATTTTTGATTCGTGTATGCTCTGTTCAAATTTATATTTTGCTTGAGCATACAACTGAATATTATTTAAAGTTCATTCAAATATCTGATAAACTACTGCAATATTGAAAGACCCATGAGTTATGAAAATGCATGTTGTTGTATTAGTAAACTTAGTGTAATATACGTCATAAATATCTTTAAGAGCCGGGATAATGTTGTACACAATAATTTGTAAAATTCTAACCTGAAAATCGCAACTTTGCCGGTATACCATACGTAACACTTTATAGCGTGGAATAGTTTAGGATCTAAGCACGGCAAGGATCTTAATATAACCAGGAAGTGTCATCTATGGACAAATTATTGTACTCAATTTTATAGCACTGTGCTAAGTTTATATTTATGCCCCTTTTCCCGATTTATAAGTTACAGCACGAGTGCAGTGCGTGCGATGCGAACGACGCAGTGCTAGAAAGTGCGAATTACGCCATACAAAGCTACAAAAATCAATGTGTTTGCACAAAAAATTAATTTCATGTATCTCATTAGTTGGTATTATTACTATTAATTAAAATATCTAATATCGATGAATATATTAGAAGTAACGAAATTGTAAAGTTTAAATAAACGAGATGAATTTCTGTAGGTGTGTGCATGACATTCGATTTGAAATATTATATCATAAAATGTTTTATTGAAGCTTCATCGATATTTGCATTCAAATCCATCCAAAGCATCGGAGTGATTGTTTTTAAAACTTATTTATCATATTTGGAAGTGAATGAATCCTTCATATTTATATAATTTATAATATAAAGGACTACATCGAAATTGAATAGTATGTAATTCAAAAACAAACGTGTGATGACATTGTCGACAATAATTTCGAAAAAGTTCATCGTTACTAAACATGGAGAATCATAGTATCATGATATACTAGCGGCAACTCTGGTTGCAGTATGCTGAGCGCAAATTTTTATGTAATAAATGGCGAAAAGTGTCAGTTTGCGCACACTTTTTAGTGCGCATTAAGCGTTTTTGGACACTGGCGTGCGGTAAAATTTTATGTAATAAATAACTATTTATTACCAGTTACTTTAGAATTACCAGTTACTGTAGAAACCGCATGAGCTGAGTTACTTGAGTAATAAAAGTTTGCATATTACTATTTGCAAACTGCTCATGGTGTGGAGTTGATTCGGTAACTTGGGGTTACTTTTATTGGCGACATTGATTTCTTAAATATGGCATAAGCTGGATTACTAAGGCTACTTGGTTTGCTTGCATAATTATTTCATAACTACGAGCGGGTTCGATTGAGTTACTTAGGGTTACTTGGATTTGCATTTTTAATTATTTAAAATTTGCACGAACTGAGATTCGCCTTCGCGCGATTAAATAAGGGTTTTGTAAAGTAATTGTAAAAATTTAATGTTTTTGTATCATCAGTGATGATATTATTTCGTGATGTTTCATCACGAATGTTCAGTTTATTGAAATTGCTCAGCATTCTACAACTCGAGTTGCCACTTGTATAATTATCATTAGTACAACGTTAACTGAAACACGATTTATAATATAATTGTCNATTCGCCTTCGCGTGATTAAATCGATAAAGATAAGGGTTTTTGTAAAGTAATTGTAAAAATTTAATGTTTTTGTATCATCAGTGATGATATTATTTCGTGATGTTTCATCACGAATGTTCAGTTTATTGAAATTGCTCAGCATTCTACAACTCGAGTTGCCACTTGTATAATTATCATTAGTACAACGTTAACTGAAACACGATTTATAATATAATTGTCATCAGTACAATGTTCACTAAAACACGATATAATTATAAACAAACGCTCTTACCGATACACAAGTAACACCGATTAAAATTAATAAAAAATAATAATAATAATAATAATAATAATAATAATAATAATAAATTCATACGAATTACATAAAATTGCATTTTAATGCAAAACATAAAAAAATATTACGATGAAAATTATGTTTCATCTACCAAATGGATCATAAAAGAATTCCTGTCGAATTTGACAGAGTTCTCGCCATTGTAGGAAAAAATTCATTGAAACTGCATAAAAGTGCATTTATTTGCGACAAGAATCATAGTTAAGCTTTCAAACGGATCATTAAAAAATTCCTATTAGATTTAATCTAATTCTGACAAATTATTGCATTAAAACTGCATAAAATTGTATTTTAATGCATAAAAGAAAAAAACAATGCAACGACAATCATATTTAAGGTCCTCGACAGATTATCAAAAAAAATTCCGTCAAATTTAATCAAATTCTTATAATTTCAAAAAAATGCATATAACGTGCATAAAAGTGCATTTAATGCAAAAACAAATGAAAAAGGCAACGACAATCATATTTAAGGTCCCCGACAGATTAATCGAAAAAATCCCATCAAATTTGATCAAATTCCCATAATTTTGAAAAAATGCATTTAAAATGCATAAAAGTGCATAAAGGGTTGAGCAATCGAGATTATGAATGTCATCAGATCTTTGTCTAGCTTCCCTTATCAACTTCCTAAATTTTCAAAAAGATCGATCCAGCAGTACTCATGGTACCGTGTCTACAAAAAACCCTTGCAAAATCACGGGAGTTCATGCAAGAATGACTTCGCTTTGCTCAGCATAATAAGAGAGATGTTTGGAACAACACTCTGTCTCGATTCAGACTATTTGCAAGTACAAAATACGTTCGGTGCTGCCAAACTAGGCTGCTCTGCTTCTTAGCGCAAAATTGAAGCAAATGCTCTTTCCGATATTTCGTAAGTGCATACATAAATGTGCAGATAAACTCAACGGAACATCTCTTATATCGTACCTTGTATAAAATACGCGTTGCTTAACTTACAAACTCAGAAAACTGATTCAATTATTATTTACATTATTATTTACAGTTTTTGGATGGACGGACTAACTATTCGTAATAATTTTTTTGGAGAAAGATTATGCATGTCTAGTTATCGGCAGTTTTCTGTCAAAATTTACCACTCGATTTTGGTACACGTGGAAATCGAGTGAACTCCTTCGATACGGTTGCATCGCTAGCTCCAACTTATCTCACTTTGCAAGTTTGTTTAACAGGTATATAAGACTAATCACGCAACCCTATATATTCTCGATATATAAACTAGGTTGCTGCATGGCACTATGAGCACTTTAAAGTCTACTGAGGCACTGCATGTAAGTGGAAGCAATGTGCAGGATAATTAAGCAGTATTAAAATTTTATACATTTTTGGTTGAAATTTGGCATTTCATAAAGTTTTAAAATAGATTTTTTAAATAAAAACTTGCATGATAATTATTTGAAATATTTGTTACTCTAGTAATCCAAAACTCGTACTTTGAGCACTCTGCCGAATTCTCACATCGTTTTACCACGTATTGAAACTGACCTTTGGCATATAGAAGCAAGATTGAAATGTTGATATAGAACCCAGATTGAACGATAATATTACGACAGGATTTCTCGCTATTAGTGCAGAATTAGTAATTAGTTTTGATGATTACAAATAATAAATTTAACCAATAAGGTCTCAAAACAAAATTTAAAAAATTAATTCATAAAAATAAATAAACAAAATATACAAACACCATATTATTATACTTAATGAAGTAAATTTAAATTATTAATTTAATGATTTTCAATCGAAAACAGTTTAATAATAATATGTATCTTTACTTCTGATCCGTTTGGCGATATTGAGTAGGAATCAATTCAAACTTGAAAATTATTATTTAGTAGATTTAGCAATTGCAGCTTTTATCGTCATTCATTCTCGAAAATCATGAATTTCGATTATAAACTCGAGGCATTGAACCGAGCCTATGAATACTTTAGTATAAGCAATGAATGTGCATGAAACAAAACAATCAAATATCAAATACCTAAGTCGCGCAAATGAAAATGTATTAATAGATCTGCTTGGCAGTTGGAAAGTCAATGCAGAGCTTAGAAGGCACAATTAATCCAAACGCCCGGAAATCTTTTGAAAGTACAGGCAATCATTCGGGGTAACGGATAGTATCCGATAAAGAGAAAAGTGAATAGCGCAGCAATAGCTGGTATGGCTGCTTTGGAGCGACGGTGCTAATGGCAGTATAGTAGCAGCACCAGCAGCAGTAGTAGCGCGAGCCGTGTCGGCTCATCGAATTTCGGTGGATGAACTGCTTAGCGAGTGCGCGCGCAAACACCGCACAGTAATGACTAGACCAGGGCTTTGCTCGAGAGATTATACACGTATGCAGTGCCTAGTCCTGGTAGAGAGCTCTCGAGCTAGGCTAGCCAGTCGCTGGAATGGTGTTTCACACAGTTTGGTATCAAAGCATTTAACTGTCTAATTGAATCCAGAGGAATAGACTCAGGCAAAATGGGCTACGCGCTAACGCTATTGATAATTTCTCTTTTTCTCGTGGTTGCTCGCATTTGTATGATAACTGATTGGCTCGCATAATCTAATACCATGATGGATACGTATCAAACCGCCGAGCAGCCCCCTGAACTCATCCATCTAGTTCTCGACTGTAATTTCTCTTCTTTATGACTCCAAATATCGAATCGAAATAGGGCTAGCTCAGGTCTACCCTGGACAATGTACCTCATTAACGCTAAAAGTGTTAGCTTTGTATCCTAAGTTTCATCAGCGGCTGTTGCAATTTGTTGCGATCCTGTAGCATTCTATACTTATTGGCAATCAAAATTGGCAATGCGTCAATGTACTCACGACAGTTAAACCAT